TTAGGTGAGTGTAAATAGGCTGTTGTATAATTAGACTGTAGACTTCTGGCGTTGTTACCAGTACAGTGCAAATCTATTTCATGGCACACAATCACACCGGTAATGACTATGACACCAGTGTATTGCCCACCCCTGACTCAAACATCAGGAAACACTAAAAACACAGGAAAAGCAACAGGATGGCCAGTGACACCTGCTGGCCAAACAGGGAAATGACGGGGCAGGACAAGATAAGGCAGGGAGTATCTTGGCAAAGACTCCACATTCTTTCAAGCAACAAATATGTAATTCAGGGCATACTTTACTAGAAGGAAAAAACTGTATACAAGTTAATGTTCAAGTTTTCGACTTTAGAGTGTAAAAAATAATAAATCTGTGCTCACCTCAGCTCACAACATTGCTGGCCTGTCTCAGACAGAACATTACATCAGACAACGTAGATGCACAAAACTTGTATTCAGCTTTTAAGTAGCACCCTCTGGTTTTGTAAATATGACCAGTATGACAACTCATCCAAGTGACATCTAGTCATTCACTCCCTGTGTTCCATGAATGGGGAATACATGATCTTTTGGGACTGGTCTGCCACTGCTGCAGAGAGATATTGTTGAAAAAGTATTTGACTTTGCAGAATCATTATATGATGAACTGGAATTTTTGAGTTTTTGAGACAAATTAACCCAAAATTGAATTAGTGCCACATAATGATAAAGAAAAGGGCAGGATCTTGGTAGAACAATAACTGAAATATTATTTCAAGGTTTTTCCTCAAACTTTGTTGACACCTTATAGGGGTGAGGAACTGGAAATTATGACTGAAAACTCTGAAATTCAAGTATTGACTTATGCAAACTGGAATAGTGGGAGTATCAAAAGGGAAGTGGGAGTACTAAAACATTTATGGGCATGATGAAAGGTTAGTGGGCATGTCAACCAGAACAGAAGCTGTGGCATCTCTGGCCTATGGATAATTTCCTGTTTGCGTCACCAGCTGTTCCTGCCCTTATCCTTGAGTCCCGAAGCATTACTCCTATCACCTAGTCAGGACACACCCACTCTATCTCTGCTCAATGAATCTTGGGATATGTTGGGCTGCAATGGATCCATTGGGTGCATCCTACGTGGAGTGGGAAAAGAAGGACACATTTCTAGACTGTAT